GAGATGGGTCGGACACACGCTGTAGAGACAGATGAGTGTTATCTCGCGTCAAGTCCCCAAGTGGAAAGTAAGTAGGGAATAATGAGCCAGGCTTGGGTCAGAAGGTGACATGGAAGAGGTTGTGATAGAAGGAAATGAGAAGCCATAGGTGGTCATGTTGCCAGTTAAAGAGGGTTTCAGAGAATAAGATGAAATGGAATTACGCTGTTGAAGCCCTATATTCCACTGAGAACCCTAAGGGAATAATAATAAACTGAATATGTAAGAAATCAAATTCACAATTTGCAATGTGCGCAATTCTTGGGGAAAAATTTCAGCATATTTTCATTGAAAATGCAAATTAATCAGATCAGAGTATATGATCTATTTGATACCACAAATTCTAATCAAGAAAGTAAGTATATTTGCATAGAACAGTATACTACTGATTGGATGATTTGAGTAGTTGTTTACAACTCATATCAGCAAGTACTACTTGATAGTCAGATCGAGGTGGCCTAAACACGCACGGCCATTTCGCTCGTTTAGAGTCCAGCTCATCAGCAGTGTACGCACGTTGACTCAGCTCAGACAACTGAATCTGGTGATACCACCTGATTTCTAACCAACTAATTAAGTGAACTGATAATTGCATAAATCGAATTCAGTACTGGCCGATATGAGTGGCAGATAACTACTCATCTTAATCAGTTTGTATTATACAGTTTTTGCAATTTTGACTGAGAATTGTTACTGAACAGCGGAAGATGTTATCCACAAGAATAACCTTTTTCTGTATACTACGATGTCTGTAGAACCACCTCTAATATCATATTTGGTTAATCTAGCAGAATTCCTTAGAGGTCGAATGAAACTGCCATTGCTTCCAAGATTTGTTATTTTATTTAGCCCTCATCCATATACAGATGTCTACTATCTACCAAATTCTTCAAATATTCTTCAATTTTCTATTATACATTTATTAGCTAGTTGTGAATAGCTGAATTAATGTTTTCACTCGACCTGTCACTTGTGGTGTGATAACATGATATACAACATTGTGTTCCGCTGTCATAGGATAAACTTCTGAATCCATAGGCAAAGTCTGTTTATAAGACTGTCTGCAAAACTTTCTTTACCGTATATTTCAAATACCTATTTCTTAAAATATAACAAGAGTGCGTCGGTAGCACAGCGGTAGAGTGCTTGCAGACCACGCAGGTGGTCCGGGGTTCAATCCCCGGCCACTGACGCACTCCTTTACCTCGCTAAGACTGGTAAAGGGGAAGGTTGGGCATGAAACTGCCAACCCCATCTTGCAAAAGTAATCACTACTGCTATAGAAAATCCAAGCCTCTAGCTTGAAGCCCCATGTTCCACATACAATGTAAAGGAATAAAAAAATATTACAAGAACTAAATTTTATTTCGTGAACCTTCACCTGGTGAGGTATCTGAAGTATACTTCATTTCAAATAAAAATACTGACAGTGCAAAGTGTACTCACTTGATTAGTGTTAATGACTAACTGTCGCTAAACCTTAACTTAAAAGAAGATCAAGACCACACTAGAAAACATATCCAGTGGCAATTTCAAATTTCACGAAAAATACCCACTTATTCATAAGTAAAAACACAGTTTTTTGTTCAGCGAAGAAATTTCTTTTCAACGACTTCATTATCAAGCTGTACATTCGTATTTATATTAAAGAAAAAGTTATTAAGTGGCACTAAATAATCGCTCAGTCAATATACATATATATGTGATAAGAATAACGATAATTAAAATGTTATAAGGCGTAGAGTTGAAGTGGATAAATTACAAAATTATTAAAGATTGTTTTATAAGTGAATTGATATCAAAAAATTTTTAAAAAATGTCAAGTGTTGTCTAAAAATTTTAAAATTAGGAGTACGATTACGATAAGAATGAAGATGTGAAGTGAAGTGCAAAGAATTCAAGTGGTAAAATAAAAACTAGAAAGAACATTACTATGACCATGGTAAAGAAAGGGGTTTAACAAAACGTTTTTAAACACATAATTTAGGTTTCTGTTCATGTATAGCTAAAGCTTCGGCCATGCATAAGTGAAGAAAACGTAAACTTTTGGATCGATTCGATTTTGCCATGTAGATAACCCTGAAAGATGAATCACGTGGGGCTGAATGACCAGACTCTAACAGGTGATCACAAATAGACGACTTCACAGTTCTACGTTCGCCTTTCATTAACCAAACCGGATAGTGTTTAGCTACACGTTTTCGTAGATTACGCTTACAACGTCCAATATAATCAGCTCCACAAGAGCAGGTAAAAGAGTAAATGCACATAGATGTGGACAAAAGCTGTAATCTATCCTTGATGCATTGTCTAATCATATTTCGGCTGGTAAAAACTATTTGCAAGTCAGCTGCAGGAAAAGCACGTTTAATACATTTAGATAAACGAATTTTAATCAATACAGAAATGGTGTCACCTTTGAATGCAAGACTCATAAGCAGTTTTTTTCTTTGGCACTGTGATTTGTCTAGGGGCGGATTCTTTCTTGATGTTACGTTCAATAATAATTTCAAATTTGCCGAACAAATTCTTAAGTTAGCGCAGGAAAACACGATGTTTATGCTTATATATACTTCATAAAAGTTATTCTCAGCGTTTACTTTATAATGTGGTACTAATTTAAATAGATCCGAACTTTGTAGGCTTTAATGTTATTAATGTGAAGATGACTTTCATGGAAATCAGCTGTATTAGTGGCTATTCATTGCAATATTATTTATGAGTCTGCTACTGAAAGTGATAAAATAAAACGCCTTGTTCAATGACATTTAACCGCATTGCTTATTATAAGGCATAAACTACGTCTACAGTAGAATTTATAGAAGAATGTGTTTCTTGAAATAATGGGTATCAAAACTGAGTATAAATAAACCAATGAATGTGCTACTGAAATGATGCATACATCATGTTGACTGTTTCTGAGAAGCGAAGAGCAACAAATACTTAGGGCCAACAACTGGAGGTAGAAAACACCCTCTAAGTGTTGAAGTTTACTGCCGTCAGTAAAAGTGATCTCAGACTTCTAAAAAATGCACGATTCACTTAAAAAACACAAACCTCTGTATTTTTATTTATTTTATCTTATCCCTTTACGTTCCTGGTGGAATATAGGGCTTCGAGCCAAAGGTTTGAAGCTTAGGTAGTAGTTATGTTTATTTCTATGGGATGGGGTTGCTAGCCTCATGTCCAGCCTTTTCTTTTCACCAGTCTTATTACTGGCTTTGCGAGGTAAAGAAGTGCGTCGGCCGAGGAGCGAACCCCTAACCATATGCGTGGTTGGCGAGCATTCTACCGCTGTGCTATCGATGCACTGTACCTTTACTCAAATGTTGTAAAAGTATTTGAAACTTTACTGATTTCAAAGTTTTAATCATTTAGAGTTAGCTAATTGTTTTTAAATATAACAGAATGACTTCAGCTAATGAGTTCTTTATACTCCGCTGTTATATCATTGAAATAATTTAATTTTTAAATACTGTATAAAATAGTTATACTGAATTGACGTTAGGTGGTTGGAAACAATAGACAGGAACTTGGGACCCAGTTTTCGTGCCTGTTGCCACTCATCAACAAGGCAGATCTGCTATACTGAATGAACTCTTTTCTCTCCAAGATTCAAACACGTGCCACCCAGTGCCACATTTACAGATGTTATCCCCTGTAGGACTGTAATGGATAATTTGATTGGCTAGAAGGTAGTAACCAGTACCATGCGTCTAATCCTTAGGGTTGATGAAGATAGGATACAGAATATAGTAAGGTAGATAGGTTGTAGTATTATCCTAGAACTATTTCAGGAATTAAAATGTCATAGTAAACAGGGTGGACGGATAAAACTCAAACAAAGTAGTATATTAGTTACTGAGATTATTGACATGTTGCGCAATTAGGGGGTAAGAAATGTTAAAATAACAAAATAGACAGGATGGTTGGATAAAAAATCTAGTGGGATCATAACTAATGTGACGAATAATTGTTTATGCAATTAGGGATTAAATATGTAGATATAATAAAATGAAGAAATAGACAGGAATTTTGGACATGAAAATATGATAGTGTAAATGGGAATTAAGCAAAACTCAAAACTAACATGAATAAATAGGACGTTTGGATAAGAAAGGTAATGCAATAGTCACTATTAAAAGAATTACCTGTTTATGATGGCCATGGCAGTGACAAGTTGATGAAGACTGGATTCTACCAGTCAACTTTCCAAAGCGGTCATCAAGCTAGGCGACTCAGCGTGGTAATGCACACTGATTAAATACCGTACAAGGTAATTATGCTGAATTATATCAGATAACTGGGAGAAATCTTCAGGAAGTCCTAGACCTAGATCCCGTGCTTGTTGCCACTCGCTAGTAAAGCGTATCCGCATTCTTGAAGGAACTGGTGTCGCCTCAGATCCACGTTATTCACTGATATAGTCAGAAACAGTACCACTGAAACATTTGAGCTTGTGACTTATCTCTTGTAGGACTTTAGTGGATACTTCGAATGGCCACTAGATAGTAACAAATGCTATGCCTCTAGTCGTTGGTTTGGTGCAGACTGAATCCTAACAGTCAAGTTTGCAACGTGGTCACCATGGTAGGCGACTCGGCGTGGTAGTGCGCGCTGAATTGATGTTAAACAATTATACTTTATTCTGAAATCTTCACAACTATCAGTACCAATGTATTTATTTCAAAGAATTGATAAACATATAAAGGAAAATCTTTTGCATAACGAAATACAAAAAAATGTGAGGACTAATATCTTTTTTAAAAAGCAAAAATGTTCTCTAAAATCACCTTCTTCGTAACACTGAAATCTCATTGTCATTTAATGTTTTCTCAACTGTTTTTTTCCGCAATTGTTGTTGCAAGTAAATTTGACTTGCCAGTGGGATTACTGTTTGGTATTACTATTATTATTATTCTGGGCATTGTATTCTGAAATTATGCGTTGTTTAGTTGTTTTCAAATATAATCTCTTTCTGTATGCGTATAATTGATTGATAAACAATTGACTGAGCGTGTTTGTCCATATTTGCTTGACTGAACTATTGACTGACTTGAAGGTGTATACAGAGGAATAATTCTCAGTGAATAGGGTAAACCTTCGGCTCTCATTACTTTGGTTATTTTTGTCAACATTCTTGTTATTATTTGATTTAGAACATAATCCAAATCTATTGAGCTGTTTTTGCATTTTGTTTATAAGGGAAAAAAGTCATAATTTAAACAAAGTTAATAAAGATCAGTTATATTACAACTTTCTAGGAAGCGTTAAATGTATCAATAAACGTATTAATCTAAATAAGAAATGAACGAAATATGTGGGTTTCCTGCAGTTTTGAAAAGTCATCTTAAATAGAGGTTAGAAAGTGCATACTTCATCCAGTAGTTAGTCTTCATCAAGCTAGATAACGATGGTCAAAGTCCCTCCAACCGATCTCTTATTATGTGTTATAATAACGACTGCAAACTGTTAATTTCAACCTAAATGATGGAACAAAACTTGTAATTCAGGGGAAGGACTTTAGTATTGGTGTATACTTTGGGCTGGGTAAATGAATTTCCGTGAATACATTGCCTTCCTTAACAACATCATCGGCGTTGATGTAATGGCAAAGTAGGGTTTTTAACCTCTTTATGAATAAAGTAATTACCTTTCCTGAAGACCTTATCTGTGATTTAACATCTTCAAAACATTTTACAACCATTTTACTTTCACTTAACATATATATATACATATACATATATTTATATATATATAATAGTAATTTTATACCTTCATACATTGCTATAATCTAATGACTGTCTGAACTGATAATTTTTGAATTAATACGGTTACTAAATTTTGTAAATAGTTGAGTAAAACGTTGAACAAAACATTAAAGAAAAGTGCCAAGGCAGACAAAAGACAATATTACGAAGCTATGATAAGTAAGGCAGAACAAGCCGCAGTGCATACAAAAAACGAGACCTCGCAACACTCTACCAAAAACCTAGGTTCCTATCGGGGAAGAGATCAACACAAATTAAGCCAGTGAAGGATGACAGTGGAAATCAGTCACCAAAGAGGTGGAGCAAAGGAAACACTGGGCTGAACACTTCCAAAGACTTCTAAATCGACCCCCATCTACAAAGCTCCCAATATTATCAATAGCGGAAGCAGAACTACCGGCGGATACCAACTCTTTAAAGAAAACAGAAATCCTGAAGGCCACTAAAATGCGAAAAACTTGAAAAGCAGCAGGACCAGACGGAATTCCTGCAGAAGGATTGAAAACGGACCTGCAGACGTCAGCCGACTCGATCACACCACTACTGGAGAAGGTGTTTTAAGAGGACAAGGTACCTGTGGATTGGAAGAAAGGCCGCCCATTCAAACTGAAAGAAAGGAGACTTGAGTCAATGCAAGAACTGGCGCGGCATTATGCTCCTGTCCATCCCAAGAAAAACACTAAGCCACATCATCCTGGGGAGAATCAGACACGCTCTGGATGAAAAACTTCGTCCGGAACAGGCTGGATTCAGGAGAGAGAATTCATGCAATGATCAAATCGCAACACTACGTATCATCATTGAACTGAGCTTGGAATGGCAGTCACCTCTCTATCTCAACTTCATAGACTTTGAAAATGCCTTCTACAGCGTCGATCAAGAGGTGATTTGGAAACTATTTCGCTACTAAGAGGTGCCGCCAACAATTATGCATCTCATCCAGCAGTTGTACGACAATGCTGCATGCCGAGTAATCCACAACGGGAAACTCACTGAATCCTTTGAAGTGAAGACGGAAGTAAGACAAAATTGGCTGGCTGCCGACTATCTCCAATGATTTTCCTGATTGCGGTAGACTGGATAATGCGACAGACAGCAGGCCGAGCAGCGAGGAAACAGACATAAAATGGACCCACATAAAATCTTGGAGATCTGGACTTCGCCTATGATATATGTCTGATTTCCCACAAACTGGAAGATATGCAAGTGAAAAGTAACAAGTTGGCAGAAGAAGCATCCTGAGAAGATAGGCCTTAAGGTGATCACCGAGAAAACAGAGGTGATGAAGATTCCTGGCCAACAGCAACAGCAACAACAGACAACAATCAGCCTGCATAAATGTGAGAAATCTGGAAGGAGCAACCTCCTTCACCTACCTACCTTGGAGGAGGATCTGACGAAGATATTAAAGTGGGGGTCGGGAAAGCAAGGCAAGCTTTCATTTCTCTCAAGTCTCTGTTGAGGTTAACAGCACTCAGCATCAAAAATAAGATCCGGATTTTCAACTCCAATGTGAAGTCAGTGCTACTATACGGATGGGAGACTAGGCGCATCATGAAGAGCACTTAGAACAAACTACAGACCTTCATCAACATCTGTCTTCGCTCAGTAATACTCAAGATCAGATGGCCAGAAAAGATCAGTGACAGGGATCTCTGGCAATGAGCGAACCAACTTAGCACTAGCCGATTGTGCAACAAATATGCAGGAAGAAATTAAGGTGGACTGGCCATACTCTGAGAAAGCTAACCACCAAATGACATCACACGACAGACAATCGCTGGAGTGGAAGCGGAATGGGAAGCGGTGAGTTGGTCATCAGTGCCAGGGTTGGGTGACATGCGTGAGATCATGCGAAGAGGAGATGAAAGCATGCAGGCAGACGTGGAGCCAGGTGAGAATGTTGGCGGAGAACGGAACTCAATGGAGACATGCGGTTGAAGCCCTATGATCCTCTAGGAATTGAAGGAAACAATTGTAATAATTTATTAATGACTAAGCTACACTAGATCCTTGACTGTTTTTACCCATAATTCATACGCTTAAGGATATTTCATCTGATTATCAATACTCCTTCAGAGAAAATCACTTCACGTTCAAGTCTCTTCTAGACTTATTTATCTATGAAATGTAAAGTAAAAAAAGAGAAAACTTCAAGACTTAACTTACACATAACTCATCTTCCACTTCATATACCATTTTTGGAGGATTGAGACTAGTATTACGCGAAAATTCAAAGAATGCTATGTAATCTTCTAAGCTAGGAAAATAATTCTGACAGCTATAAGATAAGTTTATGGTACATGTTAATGAAATAGACGATTTACCTTTTTCTTTCTGATAAATACGTTTTTAGTGATGGTGTTGACGATGATGATGATGGTGAGGAAGAGGAATACGGTTTTGTAATCAGTAGCATCTTACTGAAAAGGATAACATGTGAGTGCTTTTTCGATTTTATAGATTCAACTGATTGAGTAATGGCAAAATCACCTTCCAGTAAGAAATATCCCAGTTTAGACGGTCTGACCTACATTAAAAATGGATTGATTGTTTTCATACTATACACAAAGTGGAAAACAATATTTTAAGTGGAACAATTTTATAAATGGAGGATAGCTTTACTCAGTTAGCTAAACAGTTTTGAGTCAGTCTGTTCAGAGATATTCTTTGGCTTTTATCAAGTTGGAATAGGCATAGTTCACGCTCATCTTTGGGGAAAGGATTAGCTGGTGGTGTTAATCAGTGCTACGTAACGAAGTCCCTGTGTTCTACTCAGTCTGTCTACTGACAAAAGAACACTATTTCAAAATAAGGTCTTTTAAGTTCCAGAAAGGAAGACTCATGTTGTCAACATAAAGGAAAACAGAATTTTAAAGTCTATAACGAAGACAACAGCTTTTCCTCCTTGCTCAACATATTTCTGTCTTCACTTCAAATGCGTAACCTATACCATGGGCCTAAAATCACTTATTTTATCAGTATGGAGAGGAATTATGTTTGGACACCATGTATGCTAGCACTGACACATATATCACTTATTAATAATGGAAAGAAAGTGTGAAAGTTATCAGCATTGTATTTATATCAATCCCCTGTGTTCCGAGATAAAAGTAGGGCTTCAAACATTGGAGTTTCATTAGAGATAGTTCGTGTTTTACGTGGCAGGATTGTTGGCCTCATTCGAAGCCTTCCCTCTTCAGTGGGTACGCGACCTCCTAGGTGAGGTTTGCCAGTACGTCGGTCGCGAATCAAACCCCGGACCACATGTATGGCAGACAAGCATTCTACCACTGAACTACCGATGCACTCAGCATTGTGTAGACATTCAATAAACTGAAAAATATTTTTAACGGAATGATGTTTCTGTTTAGTTTCAGACTAGAAGAATTATAATGGACTTAAACGAAGTAGAAATTGCAAACAAAAAGTGATTTTAACGGATTTTAGACATAGTTTTTGACTCGCATCTACGCTTCTCTTTCTCTTCAACATCACAGAAAGGAGAGTAACTCTGGTGACTATTACAATTAGATTGTTCTTGTTAAGTAACGTTGATTATGGAAATGAAATCCAGGGAGAGGTCATAATCTTAGTTTACAAAGGTCTATGTCCAGTGAACAATAACATTATCGAAATCCACATTGTTTGGAAATGCGTTCACCGCTAACATTTGAAATATCGAAAACTGAAAAGAAGAGATAAATGACCATCACATATGCTGAAAATATAAAATGATACTAATATTAGTAATAATGTATACTAAAAACTACATTTAAACCCCGAAGATTCATTGTCACATCCAGTGTTGCACAGATTTTGTTGAATATTTTCCGGACATCATCCAAGTATTTACTGAAAATGAGATAAATTGTATAATACATTAGTGAATACATAAACCTGGACACTAGAGATAAGATATTTGCAGCATTAAATGCAATACATTATTTTTTCCAAAGCCTCTGAGAAAACCGACCTTCACGGTGACTTCACAGCAAGCTTGAAAGAATAGCTCAGAAACTCATTGACACCCTAGACTATCAAAACATTCTTGATAATTTTTAACTCACGAAAAATATCCACCCAGATATGAGAATCAGAACAAATCGTTCAGCAAAGAGTCCCTTATCAACGAATTCATTCACTTAGTTGTACAATCACAATTATATACAATTATTTTTTTGTATGTATGTGTACATTAGGTTTGTCAAAGAAACGGTGATGAATAACCGAAAGAGCATGGAGATAAGTATAAAAATAAATTATTTAGTAGGTGGAAAGAGTTGTGGTGAGTGCTACTTATAATCAGATATAAGTAGTACATCAGTAAACGAATTCAGAAAAGTAACAATTTGTTTTGGAGACTGGAAAAAGCAATCAAAGAACGTTACAAACACTGTGCAGAATGCAACAAGCAATCGAATGTGGTGATATTCGACCAATTTACGAATGATGTGCAAATAAAGACTTAAAGATCAGGTATACCAAATTTATGTACCTACAATGCGTTTCTCCCAATAAACAATCCTTCGAACTCATTGGTCTTTTCTCCTTTACAAGTAAATAGAAGGTTAGTTAAATAAATGATGACACCAAAATTTCATTCGAAAAATACACGAAATAGTATTGATAACAAAATACCTGAACTTGAAATTATATTCAAGGTAGAAGGAGGGGATGGAGAAATTTCTTCTGTGAACATAAAGCATGGTTTTCCTTCCAAATTGCTAAGGCCTCAGTAATGCAAAGTGTACGAAAGTAAACCGTTTTTGGGAGGCTTCTTTTAACCTTTTAGATAACTACGAATGAATCCTCCCTGCATATAGATTGGCCAATGTTGAATAAGTGTTCAATTATAGCAATCCTTATTGACTCTTTATTACTTTTTCGTAGCCTAGCAGAGTAAAGTTCTTTGACTTCTCTAGATAAAATACGCATCGAACAACCTATATATCTCACTGCACATGATCAAATGAATTAGTAGATACACATAGAAGTGGTGAAATGCCATAGTTTATGGTTAGAGTTGTTGAAGAACGATAAACCAAACTAATTTTTATTCTCGTTTGATAAACCTAATGTGCACAAACCCCATAATAATTGTATATACTGAGCGCAACTGCCAGCTAATGTCACAGGTGGGTAACCGTCCTCTTGAACTCCGCTGGATATGACTTCTCATTAGAACCCCAAGTACTTCCTTTATATGGCCAATTGCTAGTGAGCATCAGATTAATTATCAAGCGTCGGTTTGCAAGGATTTGATTGGTCACAATGTTGATCACGAGCTGCTATCAGTTGCTCTAAATAAGTATCATGAATTGGCAGATGTCAGAATTCATGGACCGTTGGAAAGGGTTCCATTGGCTTAATGGTCTACGTACACGCCTCGTAACCAGAAGGTCTTGGGTTCGAACCTTGCTGGTGGGTGCGTACTGATGAAGAGTCCCAAACTGGGCTGACGAAACAGCTTTCCAGTACTAACTGCAGGTTTTCCAGTGGTTCTCTAACTGATGTCAGCTCGTAAAGAATCCTGTAACCAATCAAATTTCTGCAAACTAACATTTGACAAATAATTGAATATAATTACGATTCTACAACTAAGTGAATGAATTCGCTGAAAACAGACTGTTTCTTCTTGTTCCCATCACTTTATATTGTAAAAGGCATTAGGTAGACTTGCAGATTTTCAATTTGTCTATTTCATTTGAACAAGAATTCATAATTATTTATGAATTAAAGTGGATAGTAGAATATATTTCTTCACTAATCTCAATAAGACGCATATTTCCTGTTGTAACTACGTCAATAAGAGAAGCTGTGATTTTGATACATTTTTCTTTGTGATTAAAACACCAGTGACTGGATCTAGATGTCTTTCATCAAGTTCATTTGTAACATCAAATGAAGGACATTCATAAATTCTTTTTGAATAATCCTCAGTTCCTAGCAAATTAATCAATAATGACAATTCTTAGCTATTTTTAAATTCTAACATCAACAACAGTGAAAATAATAAGGCTTTTCTGTGCTACACTACACGAAATCGATCATCACTTTGTATTTATCTTTAACCAGAATTAAAATAGAGTTGCTGTTGCTTACTTGAAGGCATTTAACAGGGAGAGAACTTGGACATCGCAGCAGAGTATAATTTCGTAAAATGTTAATTTATTTAACATCGTTTACTGGCACAAGAATCACAGCATCACCATTTTTTTTCCTTCACGTTCCCCAGTGGAACATAGGACTTCAAGCTAGTGGCTTGAAGTTTCTGTAGCAGTGTTTATTTTACAGGATGGGGTTGCTAGCCTCATGCCCAACCTTTCCTCTTCACCAGCATTATTTCTGACTTAGCGAGGTAAAGGAGTCCGTCGGCCGGGGATTGAACCCCGGACCATGTGCATGGTCTGCGAGCGTCCTAACCGCTATACCACCGACGCACCATGTTAAATTGGACCACATTTCTCTATATAGAATCAGTTATTCCTAGTGTAATGTGGCTTATCGGCTCAGACGCTCGACTTTCATTAAATAGGTCCTGGGTTCAAACCTAACTGAGCCTAAATCCACCTACGCAGCTGAGTAGTAGTATAAGCCCTAAGCTTATATCCTGTTCCAAATAATTTAGCTGAGAGATTATTTTTAACAGGACAAGAATTGTTTCAAGTTTGCCTGTGGACTGATATCAGTTGAAAAATCATTGAAAACTAGGGATTACTGGACAGCAGTTTCATCCTTGGTCGGCACTCCTCATCAGTACCCACACACCGGAGACCTTCCAGTTACAAGGCGAGCCCGTATATCTCACTACCAACCTGGTATCAGTCCATGATCAGTCCTGAAACAAATCGAATCCTTACAAACAAACTCTTGAATAACAAACATTATTATTTGATAATCAGGGAAATAAACAAAACAAACCAAAATAGAGCTTACAGTTTCAGTTTAATGCATACAACTTACATATCAGAAATATGCGCCTCTGTTTTAAGTCTTTCAAATAGTAAGTGGTAACATTGAATACGTCGAACTGGTGTACTCAAATGACATTTAAATAATTTTGTAGAATTCTGATATCCTTTAGCCATTTCATGCGTTTCTTTATCACCATGCAGTAAGCTGATTTGTTTGCATGAAATTCTGTCCAAATAAGCACAAAGTTGACTAGCTTTTGCGTATAATGAACAATATGTTGTATACAAATCTATTAAATATGGAGCCTAAATAATTAAATTAATCAAAGCAAAAAAAATTAATTAGAGCATAAAAACCATCATAAACAAATACAAAAATATTTATAAAAAAACCTGTCTGGAATGATTATTCAAATCAGTAACCGTTGATTCAATAATTGGCAGACGTACGAATTGAACCACAGAACCCAATTGTTTATGACGTCCTAATTAATCATTGTATTCATTCAAAAGACAAACTTGCTACATTATAGACACCAATAGATGAGCCCTCATAAGTCAAACTATTGTCTCATAGTTTATAAGAAGTCTGGGATACTGCCTGAGTACCCAAGCCGAAGCAGATGATTGTCTTATGAGTCCGAGACCTTGATATGAGGTCTGATCCACAGGACAGTGAAGTACCATCAGGAGCTGAGTTCTCATGACTACTACTAGTGACAGGTTCACATCCTGTTTGATCCTCCCAGATTCTGGAGCCCATATACACCATGGGTCTTGGGTCAGAGTTTTACAACTCGTCTAGATAAATTTGGATGCCTACCAGTCCGGTTGAAAGCGCAAAACGTTCGTGTTTGATGTTTCTTTTCCGTAACATCCTTAACTCCCTACTGATATCTGACAAAGCTGAAAAAGCACGAGGACGGTTGCCTGAGGACCCACAATTAACATTTCTTCATAAAGGCAGTTTTTAGTCAAACCCACTGTCTAACTCTTAACATGAACTAACACGTATATGGTAAATTATTTAATCAAAAATGGTTAGTCGCTCAACCTCTGATTTTCCCTCCAATTACGACTGATTTGTGTGAAAATAGCTGGACTAGGTTAACTCTTAAGTTTCATGGCTTACCTACTAATGAATAAAACCAGAACATAATTTAAACAATCATCCCCTTTATTTGTTCCAACCAATATAATCAGCAAAATCTATTGGACAGATAAAACTATCTGTCATGAATAGCAACACTGCTGAGATAAAAATTAAAATGAACTTTCATGGTATGAGTAACCTTTTCTTAAACTGTAATGAAATGGCTACAATAAGAAAAGTTATAACTGCTGCCTTATATCAAACTGACAGAGTCCTGGTCGCTTCCAGTTCATAGTTGAACTAACATTTTAACTTTGAGAAAATGGGGATATTTAAGTTTAATAATTCTAGCACTCTTTTTTTCTATGGTTTGGTTTGTAAGGATTAGTTATGTTTTACGAGTTGATCACGAACTGATATCACTTACTACTTTACTTACTTTACTTCGGCTATCTCCTACGGGAGGATGAACCGGCTTCATGAACATCTCTAATCATCGCTGCCCAGGCGCGGCGATCTGATGCAACGTTTTGCGACAGGGTTATTCAATTAAGAGAGTTCATGAAGTTTCATGGGAATTTGGTACGAGTGATGTCCCCAGAATCGCTCGGCCTTTTGTTTGAGAGTGCAACTCTAGCCTTCACACAACCAAGTGTGACCTACAAGGCAGTAGGAGTGGAGTAGGGAGTCCACTATCCATTGGCAGCCGGTGACCGGAGTTCGGTTCATACGCCTTTTTGAATGGGGCCAGACATCCAGGACATCCAACAAGCCCTTTGTCCATACGTCTGCCGGTGAGCTCCAGTGAGCTTCATACGCCAGTCGTTGGAGGTTTGGAATCAGGGTTTAGCCATCTCCCCTAGACTGTCATCCAATGGACAGTCAACCCGGTGGAGAGCGCCGGGCATCCGCTTTCGCCCTCTCACTTTGGTGAAAAACACCTCCGCCACGTGAAGGCAGTGAGTAGGACTTCCTCAGGAGAGGCTATGTAAGACGCCCGGTTATATGGGAGCATTTCAAGAGGTGTGCGGAGGGGTGGCCAACCCGCAGCGCAAGGCACCCACCCCCGACCATCCTGAGGCTTTGGAGAACCATTGAAAACCAGGGAGTACTGGACAGCTGCTGTTTCATCCTAGTTTGGGAATCATCGGCAGTACGCACCCACTGGGATTCGAATCCAGGACCTTCCGGTTACAAGGCAAGCTCGTATACCATTCAGCCACTGGGACCCGATTCAATGGCTCATGAATTCTAACTTCTACCAATTCTTGATTTTAGCGCGACCCCAACTATTGTCGTTGGTGGGACATCCATCCACACACGTGACTTCTAATTGGACCTCACTGGTGACGACTTCTCACTAGAACTCCAGGAAGCTCCAACCTGTAGCAAGTCACTAGCGAGCATCAGAATAATTTTCTAGCACTCTTCGTTAGACAATCAACAATTTTCAAGGCTATTTATCAGTACTTATTGAAGGTAAGGCAATTTATTAGATGTATACACTCTGATAAATTATTTCATTAAGAAATCAACTCCATCAATGAGACCATAAAGAAATTTGCGTTGCATCGTCAAATCATGACCAGTATGAAACACTATGACCAGTACATTAGACGAAAACTTAATGGCAGTCATAATCCTGTTGTCTTTTATACTTACTGCGAAGAGGAATTCTACCAATGCGATGGATGATGTTACAAGTTATTGCCCAGACTGTTGACTGGTACGAAGTGAAGTGACTCGGACTGCTATCACACAAATACGAATGTCATTTAGGGTTTTCTCTGTATTCCCTTAGTCAAATTTAATCAAGATTCGCTACATACACTTTTTATATAGTTGTGTAATAATTCATATAACCTCATAATTGTAATATATCATGAGTGAAAAAGAAATAAAGTTGGCATCAAAAGATGTATTGTCTGTAACTGAATCTGTGATCGATTGTTAGACAGAAATGTCTAGTTTGGTGCTAATGGTATCATTTTGCCTTTTCGCCTTTTTGTCTATCTATGAGTCGATTAGTCGATCTAGAACTCGAATTAACAATGAATAACCAGTGATGAATAAATGAAGCTTACCACTACAGAAGCCCAGTATTTGATCATCTTAGCATTCCCATTACACATTGCTAACGATGGTAGAAGGCGTCTGTAAAGCAAAAGTAGGAAGAAAGAATAACTCCTTTTGAGCATAAGATTCAAAGGATGTATTTTGAGGCAGATTGTAAATATACGTGTAAGAGTTATTGATGTGGTTGTGCTCTCTGAGCTGGATAGTTAATTTGCGAAGCTTTCATTGCCCTACTGGGCAACATCTTCAGCGCATACTTCAATTTGAAGTGAGCTTTTAGATTTCTCCACACCAGGAGAGATGACTAGTAAACTCGTGGAGAAATTTAAAAGCTCACTTCGAATTGAAGTATGCGCTGAAGATGTTGCCCAGTAGGGCAATGAAAGCTTTTCAAATAAAAAATCCAGCTCAGAGAACACAACCACATCAAAATCATCCACCTGAGCTACAAATCTTATCCATCATGTGTGTAATTGTAAATGAAGATATACAGAACCAGTACTCCTGATGGCGTACTATATCTAACCTTCATTCGTTGTTGACTGAGTGACAAACACCATCTGAATCTTATCAGCTTGCCGACAAGTACTGTGGCGAGTGCTACTGATAAGATTTATTAGTGGTATACAAAAAGACGTCCATCAGTAGAAAAACGTCAAATAGCAGGGAGATACATTTGATTTCAGAGAAGTCAAATAATACAGCGTTGCGGAGATACAAGGGAGACGTGGAAGGAACACAAAAAACACAATATGAAGGCCAGAAGTAGCACAATACGGAAGATCTATGCAACAGCAACAACGACAACCAGCACCAATCATCATCTACAGGAGAGATTTGACAGAGGTGACCTCCTTCACTTAGCTAGGCAGCGAGTATTTTTTTTAAACACAAGTGGAAGTGACGAAATCGGAAAGGCGAGATAAGCCTTCATCAACCTGAAATCAGTTTGGAAATCTTCTGCACTTCCCCTCGGCATAAAGAACAAGATTCGAATTTTAAACACAAATGTGAATTCAGTCATTTATTCTATAAGGGTGATAAACTTGACGGGCACACCACGAAAGCATTTCTGACAGCTTGTTGCCGACTTTTATCAACAGCTGCCTCCTCTGGCTCCATAATGAAGATCAAATGGTCAACCAGAAAGAATCAGCAACAAAAAACTCTGGCTGGGAACAAACCAACCAGGAGCCAACTGCTCAATAAATATTCAGTAGAAGATGGAAATGGATTAGGCATACGCTGAGGAAACCGTCAAATAACATCGCGCTCAATGAAGGCCATTACTCGAGTGGAATTTTAGTAGAAAACGACGAGTGGGTCGTCATTGCGAGGGTGACATGGAAGAGATCGTGCGAGGAGGAGATGAGAGATTGTGGAAAATCGTGGGCTCAGCTGAAGAGGACAGCAAAAGATAGAAGAAAGTGGAGATGTGTTGTTGAAGACTTATGTTTCACTCGAAACCCAAGGGAATAATAATTCCATATTTCTTACGTTGTTAACAGCTTTGTTTCAACGCAGAATTACAATAACGACAGCTTAGCATAAACAGAATTTGGTAGCGAGACATCTAAGATAATTCTAATAAATATTACTTACTTTTTATGGAAAGAGAGAAGTTCAAACCAATTGCCGAGTAATTTTTCATTCAGCATTGTATAAGATAATTGTGTCACACTGACTGTTCTGTTGTAATCAGTATCTTTGCTTATGTTAATCATCTAAAGTATAAAAATAAACCAAGAGCAATTCATTAACTATAAGAAGAAAGTTCTGTCATTAATTGAAATCTATTCTTTTGATTGGACAATAGTTAGTAACTAGTGTAATGTGTCTAGTCCTTCGTTTGGAATCTATTCTGTAAATATGCTTGATATTTGATGACTATGATGAAAATGAAGGGTAAAACAGTACATTTCAGGCTGTAAGTTAAAGAAAATAATCACTTATAATGACGGGAATTAAAATTATTGATTTTTAATTCAATTTTGATTCCCCCAACGATTGATCAGACCAAGATGTTCGGCCTGTGTCGACATATCAACTCCTAGTACGTACGCTTCAACGATATCTGAGGACTTATATGAAGTAGTTTGCTGAAGAGTGACTAGCAGCTGGATCCAGGATGCACATTTTGTCCTATTTGGGACTCGTCGTCTGCATCTAAATGAACTCCCCAGTGGCTGGTGGTCTTCCCACAAAAACTCGAACTCAGTACCCATCATTTCAAACTCTAGAGCCTCATCCACTAGGCCAACTGGACCATGACAACCCTTCCCGTACAACGGATATTTGTTTATTTGTTTCTAATAAAAAAGTATGGCAAGTTAAAAGAAAACTAACAACTTAGTTTCGAATGAATTTATAAATCTGTTTTAAATATAGTAGACACACTTCTATGCCTTTGAAACCGAAAACACTTTCTTGAATGTGTTCTACTGAATAAAAGGTCGGTGACATCCCCTTTCATTCGTTATCCTAGACTGAAATCAGAGTTATGATTAGGAATCCTTCAGCAATACTTTTACATTTCGGAAAATTTTCTCACTTAATTTATCGTTCCACCTGAAGACGGTTATATTCATCATGCTAAGCAACCATTTTTGCTTCTACTGGATATCTCATTTCACTTAAATTATTTTAAATTCAAGGCTAACAAGTTTCCCTAAAAGGGTAATCAGAAGACATTTAAAAGGTAATTAAGTTTCTCACCTTTTAAGTTGCCGAGTTCACTGACACTACCAAATGTCAGAGTTTATTTCGTGAAACGTTTTAGGACTTAGTCGGAAATAACTCCTTGTTAATATTGATTCACAGCTTGTTGCTACTAATCAGAGGGGTGAGTCTTCAAAGTGTAAGAAATTGTCGTTCTGCCACAGATTCATTTAGTTATGAAGTCGACAAGCTAACCTTCAAACCACTCGTGCTCTTCAGGATTCTGAATTACTGTCAAGTAATTTTGTCAAGTATTAGTTTGTAGGGGTTTTGTTTGATTGGCTGAAGGATTTCATCATGATTTTACATCGGTTAGAGAACCATTGGAAAACCAGCTGAAAGTACTGCCAGACAGCTGTTTTGTCTTAGTTTGGGACTCTTCATCAGTACGTACCCACCACCATGGTTCGAACCCAGAACCTTCTGGTTACAAGGCGAGCTCGTAGACCACTGAGGCACTGGGAACCGATCGAATGACCCATGAATTCTAACTTCTTCCAATTCACGACATAGCACGACCACTTTGTTATATAAATAAATAATTCAGTCATAGTTGGGACCTGATAGTGAAGTACCTGGTTTAAATACTGATTGGCCAAGACTTTTATTATCTTCCTCGTGTAATTTCTGTAACTTACTTAGTATGTCATCTCAATGAATGTCAAGAAGAACAAATCTTAAAAATAGCAAGTCTTTCTGCTAATTAACTAGTACGGTGTCGCGCAGCACTGTGCTCTTTAGCCTAATGACTACATAAAAAATTTAATCAATAAATAATTGTTACTGCCAATGTTACTTCCATATGAGGTAAGTAAGTTATCATCCGAGGGATTAAGTAAGTGTTAAATTTTATCTTATTGACATTGTCAAAATCAGTTTTCAATTAAGCTAAAGGATTATTGTCTGTCCGTATTTAGGCAATCATGACTAATACTGTTCACAACATAACCTATCTATAGCTAACACAGTTGGAATTTTTTGTGAATCAATTTAGTTTTTATGTGTGAAAATAATAATATGAGACTAAGTTTAGTGTATTTAATTGAGAATTATACTCTATCTACTGAGGAATTTCCAGCGCCCTTCCCTACTTCCCGTTGACTGATAACACTAGGCGGAAATGTCCGTATCTATTGGCGCATCACCTCCTCCTAGTATGGACGCTTCAACGATGTTTGACGATAAGCATGATGTTATTTGGTGGATGGTAACTAACAGTGGGAATCAAGATGCGCATTTCATCCCAATTGAGACTCGTCAAAAGGATATAGTTGCGATTCCAAGGGACTGATGGTGTCCCTAATGAGACTTGAACCCTGCATACATCGTTATGAATGCCAAAACGTTTTCTATTAGGCCACTTAGGCCATGATAACCCCCCTTGTGTAACAGATATCAGTTAAGTTAATTTTGTATTTCCCACAGACTGATCGTATTGGACCTAGTAGTATATATACTTATTTAGTAAAACAAAACTTCCACTTAATTGTTTGTTAACTGATATTTACATATTCACTTCCTAAGGAACCTCAATCTTTTCTAGAAAGGAGAAGGAACGTCAAGTGTAGCTGAATAATTCGAGTTCAGTTTCGTTATTTTGCAGTTCTTCTCAACTGATAAATTGCTACCCGAATTGACCTCCGAATATATTAACTAGTTAGCATATTTGCGTCAGTGTATGTACACGAGAAAAACATACGGAAAGGTATCTCCCTCTCTCTATACATTTCTAAGCATATCTGAATAAACTAAAGAGAGCAGAGAAATCAAGCAGAAGAAGCGTAATTGTCATGATGAAAAATAAACATAATGCTGAGTTTTTCTGAAGAAACCACTATTAAGAGATTTCATTCAAAAAAAGATATTTTCTCAAGCTTGAAATGATTTTAAGATTGTATTCTACCGAACAAAATGCATGCCAAAAAACATTTCTGTATTATCTGGTCTCAAAACCACAATTTTATTTAAACGATGTTCATTTTACTGCTCTCGTAAAGGCATATAACTACTATTCCAGTTACTCCGTTGTATTTCTAGTTAAATGCTGTCTAAATTCACATTTGAAGACCCCCCACTCTTTCATCAATAAACTAAATACGCCAACAACGGTCAATTAATACGATTCAAATTTTCAGTAAATGTGTGCTGACCGTCACGGAAGATGGCTGCTATGCATCAGTAGCTTAGCAGATGTCTCTTTAGGTTTAGAAACGACAAAGCCTTGATTCGATTCTATGTGGGAAAACACCAGCCCACACACAATAAGACCTGTATACATAGAAGAAATTAGCCATAAATAGGACGGAAAAAAACATATCAGATAACATCACTGAAAAATGTATGTTTCATTCTGAGTAATGCAAATATTCTCATATTGTTAAGATTGTAAGCAGTGAAGAATATTCATCCTAATAATAATGAAAATAAGCTTGTATTGTCAGATATTACATTGATGGTTCTCACTGTGTTCAGGTATATCAAGATAAACGAATATTATGAAGCCACTGAGAAGAGCTTTTCCATTCTCTTACTGCTTTTCGAAAATTTTTAATATGAGTTTGATATACTACTCATTGATCATAATTATACCGTAATGATAATAACACATAGAAAGACTGAAATCATTCGTTTGATGGCTGGATAACATATTAACAACAGCACATTCATACTGAGAAATCCAAATTCAGAAGCCAAGTTTATAGTTTGTTAGTGGTCACTTATTGTTCAACATAGTGTTCACATGTTGTTAGAATTACAATATGCATCGAAGAGGATGGTAATCAGTGTGTCATCATTGTGTAATTAACCTGTTGAATGAACGGTTAGTTATGCATGTAAGTTGAGAAGTCCCACTGAGATGGTCGCCGTAAGAATTGCTCATACCGATGCTTAGGATAGATCAAGCTATAACTTTAACAAGACTCTTTGTAAGGCAAAGGTAGCACAAAGCTAGAAAAAGTCTAATGATACGTTATCGTTGAGTCACTTGGGTAATTCCCTGTTCACCAAAAACTCGAGTGTCTAAGAAAGGCGAATTCTGTAGCAAATTAATTAAATTCACTACCTTGCATATTCTGTTGTTTACAAATTCATGCTGATATCAAACATGCTAGATCCCATATTTCATGAAAACTATTTCTGTGTACAGTGATTTTATGTGAATTATATGATTCCGAACGAGTTACCTTAATCATAGTTTAACATTAGCAAGAGAAATACTTAATAATCTAGTCTTCCCAGATGGATATTTCATCCCAGTGTCTGTCCAGATCCACTGAAAGAGTGATCACTTAAAAACTTATCGCCAAATTTGTATTCTGATTGTGCGAAACATATGTCAAAATCTAATGAAGCAAATTCAATTATTTAATTGTTCTACTTTAACTACTCACAAATTATTTAAGTAAATTATTTTTGCCTGTAAAATTAGCGGAACAAGTAAAAGTAGAATTTGAACAAGTCTTTATTTAGGCTTATAAAAGTTGACGCAGCCCAGAAGCTGACAGACAGAAGTAGTGGAATCAAGTGAAAAACACTTAGAGAAACGCGTAAAACTATCACCTCTATATTGCGTATGAGAAATCCACTGAAGAGAAGGTTCTTTACAGATCTAAAATTTATTACTCACTCTTCAATTTCATAAGTATTACAGTGAAGAAAATAGACCGTAAAGCACTTCGGGACGGCTCCAGGTTATAAAAGGAGCTAACTAGGTTGTCTTGATCTTTCAGTTGTTCCGTAATAGAAGTAATGTGCGGTTTCATATTTGATGTCACAATCCATCACTCTGCGTAAACCGGTGACAGTGTTAATTATAACAGCAACCAAAGCATGTAAAGAAGTTTATAAGCGATGTAGAAGTTGAAATCCCCTACTTACTTTTAGACATTATCAAATTTCACCTTGCTGTGATATTAAAGAATAAAATAAACCGTGCTTTACAGCAATATATTAAATGGTCAAAGGCAGTCATCACGAAGATCTGGGCCTAGGTTTCGTGCATCATAGCACTGGCTATCCGCAGTTTTGAAAGGAATCATGTCCCTTCTAAGATTCTGACCTAGTGATTACTCAAAGTATCTATCACAGTCAGTCGCAAGTCAGAACAGTTGAGTGATAACGTCTGTACCTGCAGCACTGGATGAAGCGGATTTGAATCTGAGAAGGGACGTGAGTTCCTGCAAGATTGCAAATATACCTAGCTGACAAGTATCAACAAGCACGGAATCTAGGTCTAGAGCTTCCTGTCTATTTTCTCCCACCATCTAAGATTAATTCAGAGTGCACTTTGATGGCAACTTACTCAATATGATGATCACATTGCTAACCTAACTGACAAAATTCTGTGTACATCAAATGAAGGACTAGACGCATGAAATTGTTTTCTAGTAGCGGCCACGGTGACTGACTTAATTTGGTAGGCATGACATTTAGTGTGGACATTTTTGTATTTTTAAAAGAGAGAATGTTTGTGTTTATAAGAATGAGACTGCAAGGAGGAGGAGAAGGAGAGCGATGAAATTCATCACATCAGTCTTAGTGATGTAATATTCAGACACACCGTCATATGCTTTTTGATTCATGTCTGAAAAAAGTATGGTGGAGGTATGTAGATGACACATTCACTGTACTTAGAACACAAGATATAGATAGGTTTCTCGAACATATCAACTCGAGGGTTGAAGCAATTCAATTCACTTATGAATTGGAAAATCAGGAAGGGGAGCTCCCAATGTTAGATTGCAATGTAAAGAGGAAAGAAGATGGGAAGTTAAACACTAGTGTTTACAGGAAACCCACACACTCAAACAGATATTTAGACTTCCGATCGTCCCATCCTATGCCAGTAAAAATAGGATTGATGAAATGTTTAAATGACAGAGCACAAAAACTAAGTAGTACCAAAGAAAATCTAAAACAGGAACTGATACACATAAAAGAAGCTTTGAAACTTAATAATTACCCGGATAAATTAGTCAAGAAATATGTGAGGAAATGTAAAAATAAATAATAACAATAATGATGATAATAATAATACTGATAATAATAATAATATTAATGACGACACCAATAATAAGGAATCTAAATCATCAGTAGTAATTCCATACAAGGAAGGAACCTCGGAAGCCTTACGCAGAATTCTTAACAAGGCAGGAATAAAAACGGCATTCAAACCCACAAACTCAATTAGAAACAAGCTTTGTCGGTTAAAGGATCCTGTAGAGCCTTTAAAACAAAACAATTTAGTTTATCTAATACCCTACCTGTAATGATTTTCAGGTCAAATACATAGGTCAAACTAGTAGAACAGGGGCATTCAGACTAGCCGAACATAAAAACCTAGCAAAATCTAGATTGGTTGTTCCAAATAAAGATAAGAAATCTAGAGAATAGTTCAGCTATAGCACTACATGCAGCCACACACAACCATACAATAGGATGGGATAAGATGACAGTTTTAAAATCGAATGTCACAGGGTATAGGGAGAGATTGATAACTGAAGCTTTGTTTATCGAATCAACTGCAAATACATGTAATAGGAATGATTCATCACCTGTCTCAGATATCTGGAAAATTCTACTACTCCTACGACAAATATGAGAAAACAAAGAAAACTATAAAACTCAAGTTTCAAAGTCGTGTGATGACAATTGATATGATTATGAACAATACATTTTGTTCGAAACGTCATTCAGTAAATAATACTGTTTCACTGTGTGATATATCTAATAAACAAACTAATATGGAATTATCTACCACACACTTAAAACATTTCAGCAACTCATTTAGTAAGGAAATCACCTATAACTGCTGAACACTTTAAGATGACCAATGATTGGCGCGACAATGTACAAGAGTACGTTTCAAAGCAATAGAGCATTGAATTTTCAAAAGAATGTATTCTTATGCAATAAAAATTCATTGAATACATTACAAAAGTAATTTGTTCACGGCTTATGAAAACGTTTAAATGAAAACAATATTGTCAACTTACATTATAAACATTTTGTAAAATTTCAATATAAACTTCTTCAGTACTCAGTAGTTCCTCCCAAGCCATTTGATAAGTATTTCTCGTGGCCATCATTTGCACTCCTGAGTCTGACGTGTAGTATGAAAAACGACTGGTAATCCTTCTCTCCAGTAATCCAATTTCTCAATTTTATACTCAAACTGAAAGAAAAAACGCTTACCGAAAAACAATGAACGCGCAGTTGAGCACTCTTATTTCAATGAGACACTATTTAAATAAGTAATATTTAAAGATTAATAGAAAGATGAAGTCATTACATCTGATCTATTCCACGGAATATATATATATGTATATATTCCTTCAGTATTGAATACTGAATCCAAGTCTTTCGACAAGAAATAATCACCAGTCTTCTATGAATTGTGAAACAGTCAGATCTGTACAACCAATTATTTTATGCATGATGTTTTTATGCAGTGAATTTACTATTTAACCAATATTATCTAAAACACTTCAACTAAGGTAACTGGATCAATAATAATTATTGATGGGAATCATTGATAGGCGTTTCACATTACTATCTACTACTGCATTTATTCATGTTAACTGGTTGTTAAGTTCACCTGAAGAAGAAGAAGAAGAAGGTGACAAAATTGTTTAGGTTTTCTGTGTATCGTGTCTACTTACCAAATTGTTGTACATGTTTCTATATGGGTATATTCACTTACTGGAATAAACAGTACCATGTTATATGAGAGAGTGAAATATGCTCATTTCTGATGGAATCTTCAAACTGGCTATATTATATCATATATCATATCTTTAAAAACAATGGTAAAGATAGATATAGAGGATTAAAGTACTTTATCATAAAATAGGTAAGGTAATGAGTTTGCATGTTTAAAAATAAATAATTTTCAAACACTTGAAATTCAGCGTAAGATATTTAATATCTGAGAAGTACTCAAGTAAAAAGAAACACTTAAAGAAATCCTTCACAAAAATGATTATTGAGATGAAATAAAGTGTGGATATGAGGATAAAATAATAAAGTATCATCATACATAGTAATTAGAATGCAATTTTATTCAGAAAAAACAATAGTTTACGTAAACTGCTTTTCCATCATCTATCCGGTAGCAAACAGATTACCAAAAACATCCAGGTACCACATGTTCCAAACAGCAGAAGCTATCGTGATTCGCCTGAAACAGTCATGGATCTGTGTGCCGAAGAAGCAACTCCAACCACTTTTACTGCTTTAGCCTTCAGAAGAGACTATATACTATATATATGTACAACTGAAGAACCTGATGATGAAGTTATCGAAAAGAATATTCTTTGTTCAGTAACCATTCTTTTTAAAACTCCAAGAGCTTTTTCCTTATAGTGACCTTTCAGCAGATCATGAGTCCAAACGAAGCTGTTTCGTGGTTGTAAAACGGAGTTTTTTGTGCCATTAGGTTTCTGATTTATCCTAATATCCTACTGTGCATAACACTCGGAGAAGTCAAAGTTACTAACTGAAAACTCCTATGTCCTTCGGTTAGAAAACTAATGTTTCTTATATGTCTGTTATAAATACCTACAGTTGCCTTAAGTGACTTTTACTGTCAGTTTGCTAATTTTCAGAGATGAATTAGCTAGCATAGCAAATGCCGTGTAGTGACCATTATTCCCTTGGAAGCAAAGGCTACCATGGGCTGTATTCTATGTTCATAAATGTGAATGCGAGTTGTGAGAAAACATGTTTTTGAAATTAAGAAACAATCATTTAACAGTACGCGTTGATTATTTTTAAATTCTGCTTTGCCGTGGTATTATTATACTCGACGCGGTAACTATCCTCATGTCAAACCTTTCCTTTTCCCAGGGACTAATGTGCGCTGGTAAACTAGGAGAGGTTTCCAAGTGTGTCAATCATGAATCGAACCCAAACCACCGATTGATTTTAGCTGAAAAATATTACAACCACTAGTTCTCGACTCACCTGGTAAAAGGTTAGTTTTTGACGACAGACTGAATTTTTTTCCTTCGGACTATGCAAGGAGTACTTATTAATACTACAGTACTATTCTTACTGAATACTGCAAACTGTGGAAAACGGTGTGAATCATCCCGCTAACTAAACGTTTTGCTGTTCATTTGTAACTACTAATTTGTCATTAAGTAGGCACGCGTTTTAATCACAAGAAATATCTAACTATCTTAATTTGTATAATTGTCTGATGTGAAATTTGAGAAACTTAATATTATTATATATCGACTGCAAAGGTGTACATTCACTTTAGCAAAACAGCATTATAACTGGAAAACACTCCAAAAGTAGTGCTGCTTTATATTACCATCTTCCACTTTTGGAGAGCAGAATAGGCTGCTTATAGACAGAAATGCCATCAAGCTTACAGATTATGATTCCCACTTTTTGACCTTTATTGAAAAGTCTCATTAATTGTACAAAGAATTCTCCTTCCGACAAATTAGTCATCAAGTCCTACATTTATATGAGTATTAATTACAGAGATATTGTCATTAACGATATTAATGATTTGAATTACATTTTATCACTAGTATTGACAGATTATATTTAAAGAGTATCAGTAAGAGATAATATACATTAATTAGACACTAACTCAACAGCAGATGAATTAAGAGAATTAACACAGAATCAATAAATCCATAGGCTTGACGGTACCCCAAGGTAGTAATAGTGGCTGGACCTGCTACTTTTGAACTCAGAGCTCCGGTTTATTTAGCCGAATTCTAATGGCTTTGGTTGTTTGAACTTTGATTATTATTTCACTAGGTCTATCACATTTGATTTAAAATAGTATATATAGAAGCTTCTTGTAAACAGACACAGAAGAATTCTTTTCTACTTTTCTGTCCGTATGTTTGGTGATGACCTTTTCAGGGTATCTGTTTTTAATCAGTGTGTTGTATACAACTTTAAGTTCGTCTTCTGAACAAATACCTCTGACCGTATAGCTGAGAGTCTTGACCAACATTTCTTTTAGACTGGAGAGGAAGAGAGCTGTGAAAATGTGTGTGTCAAATTTTATTTTATACTACTGTATCGACTTCTTGCCAGTAGGACGTCTAAAAAGACAGTTTTAATTTGGGCATTCTTCTTCACACGTGAATTTGATAACTGAATTTACTTCATTGAACTGAGATAATATTGCGTTCCTGTTCAAATAATTTTCACAAAAAATGAAGGTATCATCCATCTGCTGGCAGTGAAATTAGAATTTTCCTTAAAGGTTATTCAAAGGAACATTTTCTAGTTTACCCAAAAGGAAATCTGCTAACATGGAATCCAATGGAGAGCAAATTGCTCACTTCATCCACGTGTCAGTAGAGTTCAAATTGAAAATCCACATTCATAGTACGCTTTGGTAATAATTGTTTTACGATTTCTACTAGGACCCCAATATTTATTGACTTTTTAACTACATTATGGATAAGATTTTATTTTAATAAATCACACAGTGTTATACAGTAATATTAACTGATGACGTTTCGAGCACAAACTATTGCTCATAGTCATATCAACTTGATATGATATGATATGATTATGAGCAATAGTTTATGCTCGAAACGTCATCAGTTAATATTACTGTATAACACTGTGTGATTTATTAAAATAAGATCTTATCCATAATGGAGTTATACTCTACCACAGTGCCCAAGTTTTATACTTATATTGACTTTTTTTACCACAGATATAATTAACCTTTTCAATTAGAGGTACATTGGTAAATAGAGATGTTACCTCCATAGATATCATAGTTTTACCTTCGATGTTAATATCTTCAATTCTGTGTATGAATTCAAATACATCTTTCACACCATGTAAGGGATAAGAAAGTTACCAGGCGTTTACCTAAAGCAGGGTAGGAGGAATTTTGTATGTCGAGAATTGGTCTTAACGGCACTCCCGCTTTATGTACTTTGGGTAGGCCGTTACTTTTGGTATGTATGTGCCCACATGTCTGACTTCATCCTATAAACTTCCGGAAAGTATGTGTTCCTTCAGTAGTTTCTTTAGAGGTCTGACTATTTCATTTTTTGTTTTATTACTGATACCTTTGGTCTGCTCCAATTTTTGCAAGTTTTGAGCATCTCTCAAAATATTCATCCGCCTAATGTATTCAGTTCTGTCAAGGTAGAATACTCCTGATCCTTTGACTAACAATCATGATTAACGCTTAATTCAACTGTTCTGTGATCAGATGTTTCATTTTAAATTTACGTTTGACTAGTTTTAAAGGTATTAAACACTGAAATATGCAGTAAACACACTTAATGCTGTGGAAGTTGTCCATAATAGTAGTAGTAATAATAACAGTAATAATAATCCAAATTCTAACTATTAAACCAAAATGGCTGTAGAACAGATCTACACATTCCCCGACCATTGTGGAACTTTTACTAGTTGCTGAAATAACATGATGGTTGGTGTTGAGGTGATAAAAAAAATAGTGATTAAGTTTATCTGAAATCTGACAGCGTACAGTCACAAACAATAATACAACAGAATAGGTCAGAATGGTGATCGCAGAATGGAAAGGAACAGTGAATACAGGTGCTTTAAATACCAAGCGAAGGCAACAAAATGATTAAACATTAATATTGAATACCTAAAAAACTCAACTGCCTCCATGAATTACTATGGGAAAGAACATGAACCAAAAAGACCAAGTTCAAAAGTTATGCAGTTACACTTCGTATAATTATGAAAAACAAATTATTCTCAAAAAGTCGTCCATTAAATAACACAGTTTCACTGAATAATCTATCTAGCAAACGAGCTAAAATGGAAGTACATTACCACAGTACATGTATTCTTCTCTGTTACTGTTAAACGCATTTCATAAAAGATTTCAATTGGAAGAGGAAATGACAGGAAAATTTTGTTCATTATACTGATCTAAAAATAACTATTGTATATGACAATAGCACGTGCAAGGCAATCCACAAAGGAAAACTCAGAGAGGCATTCTAAGTGGATACAGAAGTAAGACAAGGCAGTCTGTCTATTATTACCGATAATAATCCTAATTGTGGTGGGCTGGATTATGCGT